CCGCCGCTTCCAGCCCCGTTCGAGCCGAGGAGGGCAGGAACTGTTTGCTTTTGATGGCAGGAGAGATGTCAGTACCCATTAATGCCTCCATGTGCTCAATCTCCTCTTATTCATGGGGGACAAGCCCAAGTTAAAGGAAAATCAATTATCCATAATTAAAGGGAATTGCCGTCTTCCTTTCGCTATCAGGCCCAATTATTCCAGCCTAATCAAGTCCTTTTGGGAGAAGACAGGAGGGAAGGCTGAAAAGCACGTTGCCTCCAAACAATTTCCCTCTCTCCGGCAAGAAATGGAAGCGTTTGTGCTCCCAAACTATCATTTTCCCTCTGTTCCCGCTGCAAAGGAATCCGAAGGGAAGCTCCAGCCATCAAAACACGGCAGGGACCCGCCGCTCGCTGGCCCCGCCGCCGCGCTCCTTCCACCCCCGAGTAAAGCCCGGAGTAAGGAGGAGCGGGGACGGACGGCAGGCGCGAAGCTCCGCTTTCCCGAGGAATTCCCGTGGGGAAGAACGCAGGGATGGGCAACAGGCTGGAAGAGAAGGGGGGAGGGATGCGATGCTCCCCGTGGGCTGCAGGGATGGAGGTGGTACCCGAGTCCCGCGCCTGGTCGCCACCGGCGACCTCCTCTTGCCTCGGAGCATCCCGTGACCCCAAGGAAAGCGTTCCGTAAGGCACTAATTGGGACTAATTGCTCCTTGGGAGCAGGTTGGGAAGGGGGGGAAGCTCCTTGTGATGTGGCAGCTCCAGAGCAAAGCTGGAGCGATATCTAACGATGGTTTGATATCGGAACGCGGGGCAGGAGCGACTTTACTCCAAGAGTAGCCCCGGTGTCTATGAGCAGAGAGGGGGAAGACACAAGGTTCCGGGGCTCATCGAAGCCAGGCTTCAACTCCAGCTTAGTCCTCCGCAGAGGGATGGAATCCAATGGGAATACAAGGAGAGAGAGAGAGGAAGAAGATGGCTCCGGCATGGAGACGTGCTGGGGAAGCATCCCAGATTCCCAGCATAGGATTGGAAGGGAAGGTTGACTTTGCCACCCTTGGAATGAAAGATACTCTCTTAGTAAACCCATTCCAAGTCGTGTTTTCCCATTCCCAGAACTGGATATAAAGGAATTCCTTGTGCTTCCCGCATCGGGATCGGAGCATCACCGTAACTGAGCCCTCAAAGGGAGTCTTGGAAGCAGGAATAGCGTCACCTACCCCAAACAGCCCCAAATTCCAGGCCAGAAGTGAGTCTTGGAAGCAGGAATAACATCACCTACTCCAAACAGCCCCAAATTCCAGCCCTGCTCCAGGCTCTGGATGACTCGGGAAAGCCCGAGCTAAGAGCAGGAGTAAGGATGGAGCAAGGCCATGGAAAAGAATCCATCTGCCAGGGCTGGAAGAGTTAAAAGTGGGTAAAACCCAACCCAAAGCAAAGAGAGAAAGGCAAAAATGTCGTTTTCTTCCAGGGTTTAGGGGTTAAATGGGATTTAGGAGGAATTATAAAGGTATAAGGCGGTATCAAAATGGGAATACTGCGGCTTAACTAACTGCAGTTAGGGGAAAAGTAGGGATAAATGCATTTATTGCATGTAGAAATCCATGAATCTAAAGGAAAAGGAGGGATAAATGCATTTATTGCATTATAAATCCGTGAATCTAAAGGAAAATTAGGGATAA